CAGTTTAAAACCATTTACCTTTGTCATGTCACTGCAGACCTTGGGAAAAAGTCTTCTGCCACTTTTCTTATAAAGCCCCCTTTTAGTATTGAAAAGCCAAAATAAAGTCTCCCAGAACCTTCTCTTCTCCAGGCCGAACAACCCCAGCTCACCCAGCCTATCTTCACAGGAAAAATGGAAAACCTCACTGCTTTCTATCTTCTAATATGTACAGTATTTTACAGCAACCACAGATACTCTCACGTAGAAGTATTTGGTAAGAGCTGACTTTAGAAGTGCAGAAAACAGATAAAGAATGGTAAAAAAAAATCCATTAATCAATTAATTAAAAGTAATATTTACCTGCATGGGGCTTAACTTCACCACACTAACAAACAAATTTATTTGAAACCACTTTCTTTGAAAATTTGAGATGCAAATTGACTTCATCTACCAGAATTCAGCAAATTACATCAAAACACTATTTTGTATGTGCTGTGGATGAGTTTTGAAATCTGCATTTATTCTTTTAACAAGTCAGTATTTGAGCTCACAGTATTAAAAAGTCAGTGTTGTGGTTGATGCACAGGATTGGTGTCAGATGATTTAGATTCTAGTCTTAACTCAGACTTCCCCTATGAGATCATCACTTACAATTATCTTTTCAGAATTGGCATCTAATTTTGGATAACCCAGCTTTGCCTGCCAGACTTTAATATCTGGAACCCAATTTTAAGAAAATGGTTTCATTCGCTTCAGCTGGTATAAAAAGAACTTGAAATCTCTGGAAATCAGGTTTCTGAAACTCTGAAATTCTATTGGGTGCCATTTATATCTCTGAAAAGTGGCCTCAAAATGTTACCAGTGACGTAAGTGAAGAATTCAGATTTTTTAATACCTTGCACATGTAAACAACTAATATTTAGGGCAATGGAGAACAGGATCCAGAGAGAGCATCCAGGGGTTTCCCATGAGTCCAGTGTCCAACACATCTCATCTGCACATTTTACTGCTTCATTCTAAGGCCCCAGAAATTGAACTGTTTCAAATAAGAAGCAAAGCTATAAAGGCAGTTTTTCTTTACCATAAAACTATTTGTGCCCCCTACATTTTAGTGAAATCAGCAGAAGTATATGCCCTGCACAGACCTGGGCTTTTGTGGCAAAGCATCATCACATCTACAGTGGTCAAAATTCATGATGATTTGCAGTGCCTGAAGTCTATAAGATAACTTTGTTTGAAGTTGAGTTTTAAAAGTTTTGAATGGCAGATGGGACATATGCTAGAGATACTACATAAAATGGAATTTTTGTTGAATTTAAAACACAAAGTGACCTTTATAATGTGTTCTTGTGTTTATCTGGAAGTGAGCCAACAATAATAAAAGTTCATTTTCTCTACCCCTGTGATGCTAAAAAATAAAAACATTTTCTCCACCCTGTGAAGAAATGTTTGTGAAAAATTCCCAACAATAAAAACTTCTCCTCATAGTATTTTAATTACAGCCAAATATCTCACTCAAGAATCCTCATGTAACCTACACTGGATTATACCATCTATGTGAAGATGTTTTGCAATTATGCCAGTACTTCCAGCTCAGATGACTCAGACTGGGTGGTGCTTATAGGGAGGAGAATCCAGACCCTTTTGTCCTTCACAGAAATCCAGGCCTGCTCAGCACTCCTGGGCTGGTGCAGTTTGACAACCAAGTTGTCTTTTCTTAGCAGGAAAATTATCCTACTTTGGCCCCCATGGCCACATTGCCTCTGGCACCTGAGTGTGGTTGGCTTTGATAACCAGGAAAGTGAGATATTCAGGATCTGGGGAAGGTCAGAGTCCCTTCATGCTAATGAGGTAGTCACACAATGTCAAAGGTGTGTCTGCTGAGGGCTTACCTGCCCTTTAAACCATGATCTGTTCCGAAGTATCCAGACTGTTTTAACTTATTACAGCCACAGTTTGATAAATGCAGAAAACTATCTGTTTAGTCAAGGGACACCTTCTGTGAATATTTCTAGTCTTCTATTTTTGGTAAAGTAATGAAATAAATCCAAGACAAAGGTAAAATGCTTCATTAAGAAGCCAAACAGATTATTGAAGAGAAAAGAATAATGTAGTTTTCAGGGACAATGTCCTTCTCCTGCCCTGCCAATACAACATTGGAACCAGCCTCATCAGCATAGGAATGAACTGGCCTCAGTTTCTCCAGCCAGCCAGAGTTTGCAGGTCCAAATTCCATACACCTACACTGGGAGAGAGGGCTCTGTGGGGCGTGGTGGGACTAAGGAACACACTGTTTGCTTTGCTGCAACCAAGATATCACTAGACCCTCCTTTCTCTTCTATACTGAGCAGAGCTATAGGACAGCTGTTGCAATAACTCATTTTCCCTTTTAATTCTGAGTATTTCCTGCCTGTCTTTGTATGCCTGCACTATTAGGTTAAGCACAGAGCACTTAATTGACAAGGTCATAAATGTCTATCAAACTCATTAAATAAGAGAGAGGTAGTACTTTGATAAGCTTCAGCACTCTGCTTAGTCATCATACTTTTATTGTCTTCTATCACCATGTCTTGCTCACTCACAGAAGTCACAATTTAGGACTCTTAGGAAACTGTGGTTAGTTCTCTCCATGGCTTTTCTTCTTACAGACATTGCTTTTTAAAAAATCTTTAAAACAAGAAGTAGTATCTCAATACAGCTAAATCAGTAAAGTAAGTTTTAAAAGAGATGTCTGTTCAAACCACATTTAATTTCCTCTCCTTGCACTGTACATGACATTTAATAAAATACAAAAATCTTTTATGGCTGTCCAGCAGCTAACAGCAACAACAGTTGGTAGTAAGAACCATGGTGAATTTATTGACTATACCAGGATAACTTGCAGGATGCAAATTCTGGTACTTCTGGTACAGAACCTGTGTCCCTTTGATATTAAATCTTTATGCTGGGCTACAAACAGCAAATTAACCATTTATACTTGCCAGACTTCAGTATCACTATTTCCTGAGAGGCTTTGATTACACCGTAAATTCTGATGGCAATTAACAAACTAACCCTTTATCATACAGCTTTTTCTTTAACTGATAGCCTAAATCCCTGGCAGGAAAAGGCTCATCTGATAAAAGCTACAAAACGTTATTAAAAAGGAGTTGCATGTTATATATAACCTATTTAAGGATCTACCTAATATCTAACCTCAGAAAAGTTAGTGAAGAAAGTTTGCTTCTTTTTTACTTCATTGCTGCCATGTTAAAACATAGTTTGCCTTGGAGCAGAGTAAATGTTGCCACCACTGTGCATGAGGAGGCACAGCTGAGGCATTCTGTCTGACACATAATTTGAACCCAAAATGAAACATTTCTCACTCAGAGACTGCAGATCCTTTCTGCATGAGCATTAGCATGAGGTGCCATGGTACCATATCCAGCTTTGTGGGACTGAGGGACAGGCTGGTTAAGTGCTGTGTCCAGAATTACCCAGCAAGTCCAACAGCAGAGTAGGAAACAGGGTGTAGTTCCCCTAGAGAGCCCTCTATGTTGGGTTCAAGGAGCTGAAGGATTTAAAACATACAGATTAATTCATTTTTCTGGACAAAGAGCAGGCTTTTAAGGCAATTGCTTTACATATCTGGCTTCAACCAGCAGTGTAAACCGTGCCATGCTCTGAAAAGCAGATTAAAGGACGAACATTAATCTTATGTATATTAGAAAGCAATCCATACTCAGGTAAAGCTGTGCAGAGCAACCAGGATGTCCTTCCATCACAGCTGCATGCCACTGGATCAGTCCATGTTTGTTTCAATAGCCTCTTCATCCTACTAGGTATGACAGCCCTGTTGTTTCCCCATTCTCAGTCTCTGGATGTGATTAAAGTTTAAAAAAGTCAAATATTATGGCCTATATTCTGGTGTTTATAAAATTTCTCATTGTTCTCACTATTCTATAAAATTAAAGGTAGAAAAAAAATGACAACCATAAACATATACATCTATCCATACGTGATAAGAGAAATGGGTTTAAAGTCTTTACAAAAGACTTGATGTGAAAGGACCTGCCAGGTTCTGGAAGAATGGATGTGGAGATCTTTACCAAAATAAAGCTGTGTGAGTTTGTTGCAGAGAGAAGCACAGCCTGAACTTCTGAACTTTGGGGCAAAATGCACAGACCTAACAGACTTATGAGTATTAACTTCTCAATCCAGGGTGGGCTAATGGTTAATTTTAATGGTCATGCAGTGCACAATGAGGGAGGGATACACGTTCAAGGAGGAATATGTAGGAGATGGTTTGGGAAGGCTGTACCTGGGGAAAGGAGGAGGGCAACATGCATTCTCCAAAAAGTTGAGAGAAACCCCGCAGGGGTATTGCCCACTGGGCTCTCTCCCTTTATTCGAATAAAGTTGATTTTTGCAGGATTCCTCTGTCTCCTTTGCAGACACTGGCTTTCACAGTGTGATTTTCCACACAATATGTAACTCCCTTAACTGTACAACTCCCCTCGTGGTTATATTGTGTGATACCCAATTGTAACAGGCAGCTGTTCATAGTGCACCAACACAGCTCATGGCACGGAGGGAAAAACCTGGGGTTTGTTCCTGACTTCTCCTGGAAGTCATTGGAATTTGGGGCAACACAATAAACAAATATCGGGCTGCCAGAGAAAATGCAGAAGGTCATACTTATCCTTTACAAACATTGGGCTGCCAGAGAGGAGCCAGGAGATCACACTGATCTTTTCCTTTATTCAGAACCCATCACACAAATGCAAACTGTTCGCCAGCCAGACCTGGGCAAGGCCTCCTGGGAGGAGCAGAAGTTCCTTTGGGATGTCGAGCTATGGAATAACACAACATCCACGGCAAACAGAAGCTTTTAAGAGCTGTCTGATTTCGCCAGTGCGAGGAGAGAGAGCAGAGAGACCCCCGCGGGGAGGGGAAGGCGTGATGGGGGAAGGCGAGCGGTCCCTCAGGTGACCCGTCCCCGCCTCGGCATCGGTAGGAGACAAACACAAAGAGCCGACCTGGCAACTTGGGATGACTCGGGGAGCCTCGGGGCGCCTCGAGGGCTCGGTTTCGGGGCCGCTTTGCCGCCCATGTCCCCCCGCTGCCGCCGCCGCCGCCATGGCAACGGGGGCGGGCCCGGCGGCGGGCGGGGCGGCGGCGGTGTCGCGGTCGGTGTCGGTCCCGGTGCGGAGCCGTGTCGGTGTCGCAGCGATGGACACGCTGGGCAGGAAGGTGGTGGTGTGCGACAACGGCACCGGGGTGAGTCTCTGCGGGCGGCGCCGGGACCCGCCCTGCTGCCGGGGCGGAGGGGAAGGGGAAGCCGGGTGACTCCCCCCGGAGCCGGCCCGGCTTCCTGCCGGCACCGCCCGCGGGCCGCGCCCGCCCGGCCCTGCTGCCGCCGCCGGGCCCGGCCGCCATCCCGGCGCTCCCGCGGCCCGCGGAATGAATGGGCGGGGGGGCTGGCGGCCCTCGGCCGGGTGTCCCCCGGGGCCCGCCCGGCCTCCCTGCCGGCCCCGCCCGCGGGCCGCGCCCGCCCGGCCCTGCTGCCGCCGCCGGGCCCGGCCGCCATCCCGGCGCTCCCGCGGCCCGCGGAATGAATGGGCGGGGGGGCTGGCGGCCCTCGGCCGGGTGTCCCCGTGCTCCCGAACCGGGGCCACCGCCGCGGGTCTGCCGTGCCGGGTCTGCCGGGCCCGCCCCCAGCCCCTCGGCGTTCCCGTTTCACCGTCAATATCCTCATTTCTCTACGTGACCTGAGCGGGTCTCCCTGTAGCAACGCGCGTTTAGACAAAAATACCGATTTTTAAAAATTCTGAATGAGGGCATAATGCATTGAGCAATCAGGATGTGTCCTGTGTCTGCAGGATTATTCGTTTAGAGAAATATTTGTGGGGTTTTTGTTTGATTTTTTTTTTGGCAGCTGCTATTCAAAATAGAGCATCATCCTTTCCTTAATACCTCTCTGATCTGCCACGTACCTCCAAATTGGCATTTTTTTTAATGAAAGGTTTTCTCTCCATCCTTTCCATCTTCTCTGGCCTCTGTAAGCGTGCACGCACCCGCTGGAAATCATCCTTTTGTCAGGCTGTGAGGCACCTTGGCAGGAAGTGAAAAAGATACCATTTTAAAGCAGGAAGAGATCAGATGCTATCAGTGGATATTTCCCCTTGGTAATTTTTTTTAGCAGTCTAGTGTTTCCCCTAGTAAAGCAATATTATGTTGAGAGTTACCTTAACTGGTGGTGCATTAAGATCTCTTGAATGGCAAAAAAAAAACCAAGGTTTTTTTTTTTTTTTAATATAGATACCTGCAATAAATATTTTTTTTTTTTTTTTTAATATAGATATCTGCAATAAATATTTTTTTGTTTTTTTTTTTTTTAATAAACCTAGGAAAGAATATTTGAGAGAAAGGATTATTTTATTAGAGATTCAGCATCCTAAATTAAAGGGTTTTTCAATTAGCATCTGAAATTGTTATAATGGTTCAGGAAGAAGAACATCATATTTGGTAGTTCAGGGATTTGACAGTTTTGATGTCTTCGTTAACCCTCATATAGCAAAAATTGTCTTTAATAGGGCTAGAGTTCAGAGCCTTTGGGCACTTTTTGCACTATCATTTAGAAAAAGGAAAGAAGAAGAGATAGCATTTTCTTGTTACAAAGGGATATGGAAGCTGCTTTATGGTTTGCTTGGTTTTGGTTTGAGTTTTCTTTTTGTTGTTCTTTTTTCTTTAATATTCCTATTGGGAGGCCCAGTTTAAAAAAAAAAAATAAATAAATAATTCAGAGCCTCATCCATCAGTGTGGTCCTTTATATGGCAATAATCACTGAGTTGTAAAATGTTTAGTGTATTGGTGGTGACAGCAGTGTTATGCCTTGGCTGGTCTCAGGTGTGACACGGGATAAAAGTGATTTTTCCAATCAGGTTTCCCAAGCTGGGTGGGCCACACACATTTCTTTACAACCTGGGCATCTGTGTGTGCTGTGAATTCCAGAGATATCTTGGATCCATACGGTTTTTCCCTCGGTGAGTTGGACCAGCGGGATATAAATAACCACAAGAGTGGAAGGTGCCTTCATGGTGCAAGAGGAGGGGCCTGTGTCACTTCAGCTTGTGTGGTTTTGGGTTGTGCTCGGCCTTTGGGCAGAACAATGTGTGTCTGGAAGCCACAGAGCTCCTGGGTGGGAGAGCAGAGTGTCAGAAGTAATTGTGAAATCCATAAACTCAAAATGTTCACATTGATTTGGGATAATTAAACAAGGATTGGGATAACTAAGCTGGCCAAAAATTCCATTCAGTAAAACTTTGAAGTCTCAATTGCATGTTGAGATATCAAGTAGTTCTATATTGTCAAACCAGTATTTTGATAATAATATTTTGCCAATGTGACAAGAGATGTCTTATTTTAGAGTTATTTCTGATATCTCACACTTGAAAGCTTGAGTGAAATTAAATCTCTTTCCAGGTGTCAGAAAACTTATAGATAAGAAATGGAGGATATCTTTGGAAAAATCAGGTGAAATTTTAACGTTAGGCTTGTCTTTGAAATTTACTGTTCTTGTTAGGCAGCAGTAGGACTTCTGATCTATCAGGCAGCAGCCTGTGTTTGAGGAAGAGGTGAATGACTCGAAGGAAGTTCTTGCAGTATGTGGTATGGGAGGCAGGCAATGGCACCTCGAAGGTCTGGAGTGTTAGAGGTGGATGTTCTTATTGTTGGAGGCCAAACAGAAAGTTACTTATTGGCCTGTAAAATTGCTGTAACTGTATTTAGGGTTTTTGTTTGAGAGTTGCATCAGTGGAAAGGATCTAGCACGGAGATCTGATAAGAATATTAGTATTCATTTTAAAGCCAGTCACGTGACCTGTTTGCAAGCTTCCTCATTCTTTTAGTTTGAAAGAACACTTATACATGCAAGTTCTTAGTGTTTGATGACTCAGTAGGAAGTGAAAGACTCGGTATAAACCACAGTGAAATGGAGAAGAAACTATATATGGTAAAAATTGTTACATACATGGTTTTGCACACAGGCAGGCTAAATAGCTGTTCTTAGAACATTCTGAATGTATAGCAAATGTGTGCAAAAACAAATGATGATGAAGTTCTTGCAGAAATGGGTAAATTCATGGAGTGCTTGTGTTATTGTTGGAAACATGAGCACTGTACTGAAATTGTTCAATAATTGGTTTGAGGGGTGTGCATGGCAAGAGGTGGAAGAGAAACGAGTGCACTGTACTTAAATTAGAGAGTTTCAAACTGAGAGTGGCAGAACAGAGAGCGTTTAATGTTGGGCCTTAGAAAAGAGAAGCTGTTCCAGATTACTGCAGTTCATAATGTTTACTTGAAGATTTTGAAGGATTTTCTGTTAGGGACAGGAGGGAAAGGTATCTTATGTTTCCTGTGCCCCTTCAAAAAAATGTAAGAGTCCAGAGTCTGTTATTATACAGATCTGTGCATTTTCCTGTTGGTGGTTTTACCAAGCCTGTTTCTTCAGCCATGCTAGGCAATGCTAGGTGATCACAAACCTACTGAACCAGCTGAATATCCAGGATAGTGTCAGTGGGGATGTCCCCATTGATAGGGAATCTGACGAAGAAGGCTCACTTGTTCTTATCTTTCCCGTATTTTTATGTAGAGTGGAAGGAGAAATTTCAAATTTGAAGGCAAGTTAAAATTCTGTCTTTTCTGTCTATGGCAGAGTCTATCAAACTTTGTAAAATGTAATTTTTAAGGCTCTCTCTTCTGGCCAGAAAGAGGTGGGAAACAGACTGTCAATGTCCAAGCTTATTCTCGCTCATTGTAGTTTGCATCAATTAAATGTGGTTTTCATTGTGTTTTAGGCTGGTTGGAGAAATGACAGTCTGTTTTTAAAACCTCGAATTTGTTAATTTCCTGGGAAGATGCATCAAGATCTTAATGCAAAAAGAGGCTGGAAGTTATTATTCATATCAAATAGTAAGAATTTTTGTGGTTTTGTAGGTCAGCAGTTTTTAGGTCAGTATAGTTGTATGTGATTCTGAGAGGTGTTTTAAAGGTTGGCCAAGAGATGCTGATTTTTGTGAAGTAGTTGTTTTGCTTGCATACATCAGGGTTGCTATATAAATAATGGGGGTTTAAAAATTTGAGTAGTGGAGCTTCTTGAGAGGGTGTTCCAGGAGTTTTAAGTTGTAAAGATTTATTTAGATATTCCTTATGCTGTTTTCTTCTGATATACTGGTGTATTCAGGTATGCAATCCAGAAGTGCTTCTGGCTGCTCTTTGCTTTCTCGTAGCAGCACTGCATTCTTGAATTCACAGATTAGATCTGTACAACTCCTAGGCAGGTCTGGCCTTAGTGTAACCAAAAGAATTGATAAATACTTGCCTTTGCAGAGTATTCTGGGTTTGAAGTAGAACGAGTGAAATGAGTTGTGTACGCAGTGTCATTCTTCAGGTATTCCAAACAGCTCTGCCTTTGGAGGGCAAGCACTGAAGGAGTAAAAGAAACTAGGGTCACAAAAAAACAAATTAAAAATCCTTTCTCCCCTCTGTTCCCCCAGCTTTAATTAAAATATCTGTTGGTTTTGCCTGTAACCGGCTCTCTAAATTTCTTTCCACAACAGGTACCCTTTTTTACTGCAGTAAGGTGAATAATTACGAGCAACAGCACAAGTGACTTTTCATGTTACCGTTAGTGTAATGACAGAATTCCTCTGAGCTGCAATTAGCTGTACTCTTTGCTGGGATAATTGTTCCAGTGGCAGTCTTCAGACCTTACTTCAGAAAACTCGGCGAATATTTGGAAAATTCTAGCAGATGGCTTTTAATACAACCTGCAGTGGATAATTACATTTTGGGACAGGATCCCAAGAAGTCTGTGAATTGCCTGTTCTTGGAGGTTCCCAGCAGCCAGCTGGTCCAAGCTCTGAGCAAGCTGCTCACAATTCAGCGGTGACTGGTTTGAGCCCAGCGTTGGATGAGACAGTTCCTGAGGTTCCTTCCAACCCGAGGGCTCCCAGAGTGCTGGGTTACTGCTGCTGCACCTCAATGCTTGGGTGATTTTGCAGATGAAAATGTTTTTGTTCTGGCATGTTAATATAGCTCAATATGCAAACCGTGCCTCAGAATAAAAGAGGAGTCTTCTCTGTATGAGCTGCAGGCGGAACAGTAGAGTATGAT